GCAAGTCAGAGTGTAGAAACAGGACAGGAGACAGGCAGAGAGTGGAAACAGAGGAGGTGTGTGGAAACAGACAGGACAGTATGCCATGGACACCCCAGGCAACCCTCTACAGGAGAACCATGGCCAGGAGCAGGACAAGCAGCAGCATGTGGGCATTACTGTGACTGTGGCAGGGGGGCACCAGAGGGACACATCAGAATCTGTATGTGAGTCTCTGCCTCATCTGTCCAAAATTAAAATGGAGAAGTGGCCAGATGGGGGCGCGGGCAGGTGGGGGCACAGCCTGATGGGGACGCGGTCTGGTGGGGGCACAGCCAGATAGGGACGCGGTCTGGTGGGGGCACAGCAGTATGGGGGCGCGGGCAGGTGGGGGCACAGCCTGATGGGGACGCTGCCAGGTGGGGGCACAGCTGGATGGGGACGCGGTCAGGTGGGGGCACAGCCTGATGGGGACGCGGTCAGGTGGGGGCACAGCCGGATGGGGACGCGGTCAGGTGGGGGCACAGCCTGATGGGGACGCGGTCAGGTGGGGGCACAGCCTGATGGGGACGTGGTCAGGTGGAGGCACAGCAGCATGGGGGCACAGCCGGATGGGGACGCGGTCAGGTGGGGGCACAGCAGCATGGGGACGCGGTCAGGTGGGGGCACAGCCTGATGGGGACGCTGCCAGGTGGGGGCACAGCAGCATGGGGACGCGGNATGGGGACGCGGTCAGGTGGGGGCACAGCCTGATGGGGACGCTGCCAGGTGGGGGCACAGCAGCATGGGGACGCGGTCAGGTGGGGGCACAGCCTGATGGGGACGCGGTCAGGTGGGGGCACAGCAGCATGGGGGCACAATCAGGTGGGGGCACAGCCTGATGGGGACGCGGTCAGGTGGGGGCACAGCCTGATGGGGACGCGGTCAGGTGGGGGCACAGCAGCATGGGGGCACGAACAGGTGGGGGCACAGCCTGATGGGGACGCTGCCAGGTGGGGGCACAGCCTGATGGGGACGCTGCCAGGTGGGGGCACAGCCTGATGGGGACGCGGTCAGGTGGGGGCACAG